GCATTTGCAAAAGAAAACTAGATATATAACTACCAATGTCATCCTTTTCATAGAAATTTCTGACTATACCTGCATACTTTTTGAATTTATTTTCTTCTTCTTTTAATCTTTCTTTTTGGATAGCAGCTTCTCTTCTGGAATCATTTTCCATTTCTTTAGTTCTGATTTGTGCCTCTGTCTCTTCTTTTTCAATCTGAATCGACGCAGCTATCTTCTCGCGTTCCAAATTCAGTTCTTGTTCTTTTAATATTCTTTCTTGTTCCATTTGTCTATTTTTCATTTCTTTTTCTTGTTCCAGTTGTTTTTCTCTTATCTCCATATTTATCTACTGCAGCCTTCAGCTCCTTCTCATAAGCATCTCTGCAAGCTTTTTAATTTTTATGTAAAACCATCCTCTCATTGGCTTGCTCTCTTTCACATGTTAGCTGTCTAACCCTCATTGCCTGTTTCAAAGCAAAATCAACAAATTGCTGCAGCTGATTATTTGGAAGGGAATCTAACCAGACCAATGTGTGATTTTGTGTAGCCTTTGTCTTGGCTTCACTGAAGCAAAGGTTAGCATGCCGGGCTCTTCTCATTAAGGCATCCATCATGCCCAGAGTCCGCTCAGCATGCATATTATGAGTAGGAGCTGAAGCTGTTAGTTCTATAAACTCTGGTGACTCAGTAGGGATGGTCATATCAAAATAATATTTCAACAGTCTTTCAAGAACAATAATAAATTCATGCAATAAACATTTTACTGTCTCCACAAACTCATCCGAGGTGGCCACTTCCATGTCTCTTAGTTCAGGCTGCACGTCCATCATCTCATTTCCAAATGCATCAAGTTGTGTGTCCAGTAAGCCCTCTGGTCTGTCTACCAAGCTTTTCAGTGCCTGCATGCAAGGTCTGAAGGCCAGCCGCCTAGTAGTAAGCACTTAGAATTTAAAAGCAGTTTTCATGTGTTATAAATAATGTGACTGTACAGTGTTACATATTTCAAATGTTAAGCATTATTATTCCACTACTTTTAACAGCATGCAGTGAAACAAAATAATGTCTTTGGTAAAAATTGCATTCAACTCCATACTATTCATGAGAATACTTAAGTTGTAAACAATGTAGAACGTTACAGATGATACATAAAACATAAAAAGGTGCAAATGTGAAAACTGTCATGACTAAAAACATCTCATTTTGAACACAAACTGTAAATGTTTTTTTTTATGGTATGACCTATTGTGTGTATACTGCATATATAATCTTCTTCATCTTCACGTTCACTGGCTGGAAACCCCAGGGGAAAGTTCTGGCTGTTTGTCCACTTCTGGACCCTAGTCTGTTGACAGAACCTGATTGTTGCCTGCGCATCCATTTTACAGTTAAGACTCATTTGCATGCAGACTGTTGGTTCTGTAACTCTCAGACAGGTGCACTCTGACTTCGTAAGATGCTCCAATTAATTAACTCGTACGACATCCACACACACACAAATGTTGAATTTAGTGCCATAATTTGAGAAATTCGTGATCAAGATATGGGCAGGTAAAAATATCTCCAACATAAAATTCTGTAAACTCTAAATAATGACAAACACATGAAAAAATGGTACAACGTTTGTGGATATTTAAAAAGTAACTCACATAACATTGTCAATTTACTAAGCATCCTAAGTTAATTACCAAAGAATCATCACCAAAGAATCATCTTACCAGTGATGGCCTAAATTAATTATTGGGATTTGGGGGTGATCAGGCAAAAATATCTCCAACAGAGAATACGAAGGGCTCTAAATAATGACAGATGCATGAACAAATGCTACAATCGTTGTGGATTTAAAAAAAAATTATTAAAATAACGTTAGGTAATTTAATAATTATTTTAAGTTAATTATAAAGCGGCCAAAACGGTCTCCTAGTGCAAACATATTGGATTTGAAGCGAAAACAGTGATGCTACTAAACAATTTTTCTTAAACATGTGCTGTATTGCCAATCTTTGTGAAATGTCCCACACTTATATAAAAATTAACGCAGAATTCAAAAATACATCACAAATTGCGGTAATCTGGCTAATTAAGAAGATATTTACGAAATTACTTACCGTCATTGGATTTGAAGCGAAAACAGTGATGCCACTAAACAATTTTTTTTAAACATGTGTTGTATTGCCAATCTTTGTGAAATTTCCCACACTTATATAAAAATTAACGCAGAATTCAAAAATACACCACACATTGCGGTAATCTAACTAATTAAAAAGATATTTACGAAATTACTTACCGTTAATTCACTGCGTGCTGCCAAAAAAAAAATCGATTTATTTTATACGCGTCAAAACCATCTCAGGTCAAAGCCTGACATCTCTCCAATAACTCCTAATAACTTTTCCGATTTTATCTTTCACGTAAAGAGCACAGAAAAATAATTTCTCAATAACACACAAATGGTTTTCAAATTTTCGGGTCGCAATCGCGTCTATAGTTACCGACGAAAATGTATAGCAAAATAAACGAAACAAAACGATCCATTGCTATACCTACTACTACTACTACTACTACTACTACTACTACTACTACTACTACTACTACTACTACTACTACTACTACTACTACTACTACTACTACTACTACTACTACTACTACTACTACTACTTCTTCTTCTTCTTCTCCTCTTCTTCTTCGTCTTCCTTTTCTTCAGCTACTACTACTACTACTACCACGACTACTACTACTACTACTACTACTACTACTACTACTACTACTACTACTACTACTACTACTACTACTACTACTACATCTACTACTACTACTTCTGCTACTACTACTACTACTACTACTACTACTACTACTACTACTACTACTACTACTACTACTACTACTACTACTACTACTACTACTACTACTACTACTACTTTTTTTCTTCTTCTTCTTTTTCTTCTTCTTCTTCTTCTTCTTCTTCTTCTTCTTCTTCTTCTTCTTCTTCTTCTTCTTCTTCTTCTTCTTCTTCTTCTCTAAATGGAGCGGTACTGTTGTAGTACTCCTCTTATTGCAATGGTTCTCAACCTTTCTAATGCGGCGACTCTTTAATACAGTTCCTCAAGTTGTGATGACCTATAACCAAAACGTTTTTTTTCCGATGCTACTTCATATGTTTAGTGAATATGTGTTTTCCAATAGTCTTAAATTATCCCTGGGAATGGGTCGTTCGACCCCCAGAAGTGTCCCGACCCATAGGTTGAGAACTACTGCCCTAGTGGGACCAATCTAGCCAACCTATCTGCTTGCTCATTCCCTCCAACTCATACACCGCATGCCTTCCTATCTTGTCATCTCTACTAGTGTATGCAAATTTACTTTGCATTTTATTTCTATATCTTTTTTCTCTTCTCTTCTCTTCTCTCTCTCACACACACACACACTCTCTCTCTCTCTCTCTCTCTCTCTCTCTCTCTCTCTCTCTCTCTCTCTCTCTCTCTCTCTCTCTCTCTCTCTGGTTTCGAAAAAGAGCATTTTATTGTTATACTTTAAAGTGTCGAACCTTCTTCTGGTGGTGCGCCCTTGGGTGTGTGACATAAACACTGACCCCCTCCCCCACCCGCCCCTCCCTCGCCCAGCAGCTTAAACAAAGAGAGATTTAAAAAAATTACACAATTCATTATCCCCAGCACGATTAATAAGCCCTCGGAGGGCGTCCGCAGGCTGGAAACCAATAGTGGATCCGTGCACTCGAGTGTCTGCAACACGCGACATATGCAGTGTTCTGATGGCTTTCGTCGCCGAATTTAATCGTTCAATCCTGAACGCCGGCACACAAGTCAAGTTACCTCCCCTTGTTAAAGTGTATTTAACTCTGTGACATTGCCGAGATTTGCACCAGAACTGACTATTACGTTGTAAGGGTTTATCATTGTCAGTAAAGTGATCCGTTTAGACGCCAGTGGCACCTAGGGCATGTCGTGTTGTTCAGGAGCCGTTTTCTTGTATAGACAGGTAGAGGCTAGGTGGGTGGTATGTCAGCATTACGTCGGTTGCCTTTACTTCGCAAGACGTTTCCTTGTACCTTTTAAGGTTGGGTCAACTTCATCTTCAGCTTTTGCCCTTCTTCTGCTTCTTGATTTCTTCAGGGTCACCGTCTGTAAACTCCGCCTGAAAGTTCTGGCTGTTCGTCCACTTCTGGACTTTAGTCTTGCTCCAGCATTTAAGTTTTGCATGCACATCCGTGAGGCAGATCTAGCTTATTAGTATGCAGACTGTTAATGTCTTCCTTACCTCTCAGGCATGGATAGACTACGACTTCAAAGGAACCCCTCCCCCCAGTTAGTTGACTTATACGACATGCGTCTCAAGCATTTAGAGTGTATATTTTTTTTTGCCACCCACAATGGGGACCTTGAACCCACACGAGTAAGCGTTAGCTCTTTAAAGAGCTATTGACACGTATGTTGTAATTTACAGCCAAGCTGCGGTATCTGCACTTTCGAACGACCACGTCAGCAAACTCCTATTAAGTCACTTTGTATAGCATGCTTTTAGGGGACATTTGCCCTATTATATTATTTATTCGCAAAATACGACCGCAAAAATATTTTGCTGTATGTACAGTAAAGAAATCGCAATGTACTTGTTGGCACTCACAGATGAAGAAGAACGAAGTAAAGACAAAACGGCAACAGTGTGTACTTCTTTCTTATGGATATGTATTTGCAACTCAGTACATAAGCATTTGTTTATTATAATATTTCAATCGCTTTAAGATTTCCTCCGTGATTTAAATAAGACATAATCTGCAGGAAGTTAAACTGCTCCGGCTTCTGGTGTGTCGACCCAGACTCTCAAAGGTACAGCATTTACTGTAAGACCAAATTACTGTGCGATTCAACATACTCTGGCGTTACTTAAGTCGGGACTAATTTAATGTGAGTCATCCGAGTCTGAGCTTATGGTTAGCCGCATTACCTGAAACTTGTACTATTTCCGATGAGGTCAAGATGACAAAATATTACTCGAACTTTGACCTGATGGTTTTATGTACTCTGTTTATGTCATTGGTTCTTATCAAAATCGTGGAAACTAGGTTGGCATTTTTTAGCAGCGAAACGACGGATAGATCTGAAGCATGGGAAATGTCAACTATTGATCAAGGGAATGAAGATGTAAGTGTTAGAACTGAAAGCATGACATTTGAACAACAACTGATTACCAAAGCTGTTGAAAAAATACCTGACAGAGACAGTCTGAGTGCTTCAACACCTTTCTCGACGTCCCCTGTGGAACTGAAGACATTTATTTGGAACAGAACAACGTCTCCTGCCTCATTCCATCACGGCTACTGTAAGCACACATGTTTAGACTCGCATTCAAGTGGTGGTAATAACATGAAGACAGACTGCCAAGATCTCAGTTGCTTCCAGTGTGACTGTATAAGACCCCGATGTGAAATTTACCATACGTGTTGCCCGGATGTGTCCAAATTTTCTCCACAAAACATACCAAGTGTGGTTGATCGTTCCATGAAAGAAGATGTCTCAAAACTTAATACAACCGGTCCATGGCTACAAAAATATTCGCAGGACTCTACTGGAGAAAATTTAACAGAAACGTTAAAATATTATGATACAGACATTCAAAGTGCTCATAATTACGGATATACAAAACGCACAAAAAGCAAATTAGAATCAAACATACGATGTGATCACAATTCTTTTGTCATTCCATTCCTGTTTGTGAGATCATGTTCATCGAATGTTCAAGTTTCTGATGAAGTAAGATCGCTTTGTGAAATAGACACTATAAACGATGACGTCAGCATGAAGTCCGTTGCTCGAGTTACTGATGTTCACACGAGTGTTGTTTATTACAACCAATATTGTGCCTTATGCAACGGCATAAATGAGGTAGGTAAAAGACTTTCCATAAGTGTATTACATCCGTATTTTGATTTTTTAAACCACTGTTGCTGATGCTGCTGCTACTACTACTGGTACTACTGCAACTACTGCTGCCAATGCGACTACTATTACTATTATCTCTACATACGAGCTTAACTTGTATCAAGAGTTATTTGTAAACTCCCTGTGATGATTTGTACCAGAATCATTTAAAAGTTCATGGTTTAACCCCTAAGGATACAATAGAGTTTGTTGCAAGATTTTTACAAAACATTGCAAACTAATAATCTAAACGCTTGACATTGATAATCATAGAAAGCGTCAGCCATTCAAGGAGCAATGACAAACTACTGCGCTTAAAATTGCTAAATTCAACATCAGATTGTGTTTACCATTTGCTGTCAGAATGATGTCGGTGTCTTTCCGTTTCTTGTTCCGTTGTTATGTAGTGGCTAGATATACCTGAAGATCTCAGGTTTGAAATTTTACAGAGTTGGTTTTCTTTGTTTGTTAGTTTGTTTAAATTAGCGTTGGCTCCACGGTCAACGAACCTAAAATTGAAACTTAGAAATATCATGGGAGCTAATCGAGCACCAAATAAAGTAAAAGCCGAATAAAGTAAAAGCAAAGTCCCCTTTGTACACCAGTGGCACATCGGGTCTTTAAAGCTAGACTCATTTTGGTATAGACCAAAGGGATCACGTAGTCAACATCACGCTGACCGCCTTTACTTTCCAGGATTTTACCTTCCAAGACTTTACCTAGTATCCATTAATGCTGAGTTGACCTGGGAGAAAGGTCTTGTTTAAAAACATTTCAACACCGTGAGGGTTTGAACAAATATCAGGTAAGCACTGTCACAAACACGATACAGATGTTCAGTCGAGATAGCAGCAGAGGAACATAGAGCATATGCAACAGCGATACTTCAGGCACTCCAGTTTAACAAATTACCAGGTGTACGCACACTTTTCTCTGAACTAGGCAACAGTGGATACCGTCCCACTGTGGAGTTCCAGGAAATGAAAGAGCTGATAAACTAGCTAAGAAACGTGCAAACGAAGAACAGCCTGACGTAGGAGTCTCCTAGCAACAGAAGAAAAGAAATAATCAAATCAACCAGAAAGCCACCAAAACTGGCACACGATGATTACCATATTATTGACAGACCAGAGCAAGTCTTTTTTTCTACGCCTGAGAACGGGGCACAGTCGACTTCGCAGTCACGTGTAGACATAATTTAAGATTAGCGAATAAGCCATGTGCACATGTGAACTGACAGCAGATCACATCCTCCAAGACTGTCTCAAAGACGACATTTGCAAGCAAACTTTCTGGCCAAGAGAGACACTGATGGGAGCCAAACTTTAGGAGCCGTTAAGTGAATTACCAGAGACAGTGAAGTTCTTACTAGAGAAAGCATTACAGATATAGATAATCTATTTCAAGCAATCGAAAAAAGAAGATGAACATACATCCTTAGCATCCACAGGCGAGCGTGAAGCCACTACACCACGGCGGTTTCCTAGGTCTCAAATTGTCAACATAAACAGTCCACTGACGTTATGTACTCTTATAGGCTAATTTGTTCAGCGGTTTGCCATGCGCTTCAAACAGGGTACCTAAAAAACTTCGCTGGAGCTACGGAATTTCTGCTTTGTTTGATGCTTTCTGCAAGCGGTTGGCCTGTCTGTGGAGAATGATGGAGCGTAGCCATCGACAGTATAGGCCCTGAAACTCGACTGGTGACGTCACTTCCCGAGGCAAACAAAATGGATGTATCAGTGTGTGTTCGATTTTATTTTTCTTGTGAAAGTTGTTAACGTGGTTTAATTTTCACGTCTGATTCACCTATAAGCGGTATTTCAGTGAGTAGATTTAGGAAGCAATTTCTGCAATTTACGTTGGATTTATCGTCAGTGTGTTGTTTTCGAGGAACTATGCCTGCTAAATGTTCTGCACCCGAGTGTCGTTCAAATTATGACCTTTCTAGTGGATATGTAAGTTGCTTCAGATTCCCTTCGAATTCTCTTTTAAGAGACAAATGGCTGAAACATATTCCACGGAAAAATTGGACTCCTGGGAAAACCAGTGTAGTATGTATAAAACATTTTCGTACGTGAGACATTATTGTGTCTGATAAATATACAGACAAATCAGGAATCGAGCATATACTTCCAAGAAAGAATCCCGCTTTAAAAAAAGATGCTTATCCAACTATTTTTCCAGATCTTCCATCTTATTTATCGGTGAAAGTACCTGCCTCTCGCAAAACTCCAGAGGAACGTGTATCACATATTAATCGTAATTATGATCAAAAAGTAAATGATTGGCTGTCCTCAGATATTATTACAGATTTCCAAGATCTGGAGTCACAGATAGGAAACAAACTGAAAGGACACTGAAAAAAATTGGAAATACACTTCTGTAGATGGAGCTTTAGCATGTATTGTTTTGTATGTCATTACCATACAGTCAGACTCTGCACCATCCATAGGTGTCAGCATAAAGGTGTTACTTGATATGACTATACAAGTCTTTGTTCAAAATAAAAAAGTTAAAGACAAAGACCTTAAATGGATTGTAGACAACAATAAACTTGTGAGATGGTCACAGCTTGAAAATCTTGTAATTCATTACAATGCCTAGGATTATAGTAAAATTCAAAGCCAAAATAGCTTCACAGATTTAGTGGGAGAAGCAGGAAGTATTTTGAAGAGTGCCGCAGAGCAACATTGGACTCCTAATGGGACAGCTGATGAAGTAACTGACACACAAGTAAACTTTCTTGCAGAGCAGCTGCAACTGTTAACCCTGTTAAAAAACAGAAGGCGTTACAGTTGTAGCACATTATGTTTCGCTTTCATGCTGTTCATTAAATCTCCAGCATGCTACCGGTTTATAAGAAAATCTCGTATGTTGTGCCTGCCTCATCAAAGAACACTGCACAATTTAACTTCACAGTTGTCATTGTCTACTCATACTGGCAGCATTTCACAGTACTTGAAATTGAAACAAGACAAACTGACAGAGCTAGAAAAGATTGTAGTGGTTCAGATGGATGAAATATATGTTAAATCTGCAATTACTTACTCTGGGGGCAAAATATTTGGCAATGCAGACAATGCAAAAGAAGCAGCAACAACAGTGTAGGCTTTCCTCATATCTTCAGTTTTTGGAAGCTACCAGGAAATTATAGAACTTTCACCTGTGAACAGAATGACATCTCGTGATCTACGTTTGAAATTACTCCACTGTATCCACTTTGTACAGGAGTGTGGTTTCACAGTAGTTGCTGTAATTGCAGATAATAGTGCTGGCAATCGCAGAGTTTATAGTGATCTCCTGAAACCAAGCCAAACTTTTATTGAGAACCCAGATTTTGCTAATAAAAAAATATTTTTACTGCATGATTCTGTGCACTTGCTAAAATGCATGTGGAGGAACTGGATCAACCAGAAGGACACAAACCAGACATTTACTTATCCTTTAATAACTGGACAAATGCTAAACGCCTGTGATACCGATAGAGCTGCAGAAGCTAACTTTTCTCATTTAAAGAAACTGTATTATAGTGAGCAAAAGAATATTGCAAAACTGGCACCTAAACTTTCCCACAAAGCCATCTATCCCTCCAGCATGGACAGACAGAATGTTCCTCTTGCTTTGGCAATTTTTAATGAATACAATGTTGCTGCTCTGCGTCTAGTAGGCAGTAATGAAACAGCAGATTTTATTGAAGCCATCCTTAGATGGTGGCATATTGTTAATGTGAAAAGTAAATTTGTAGGTAAAAAGACACTGAACTCATTCTCAAATCCTGTATTGTCAAATGATGATGAACAAGTGCATTATCTTGAACAGTTTGCTGAATGGCTAAGAAAATGGGACAAGCTGCCTGGCTGTCAAGGAAAACTGACCAAGGAAACACACAGTGCATTGCTGCATACAGTGACCGCAGTACTTTCTCTAATCAAATATCTATGTGCAACCACAGAAGCCAGTTTTATACTTCTTGGAAAGTTACAGACTGACAACTTAGAAGCTCGGTTTGGTGAATATCGGCAGTTGTCAGGAGCAAACTACCTAGTATCTGTGCAGCAAGTTTTAGAAGCAGAAAAGAAACTTAAAGTTTACTCACTGTTAAGTATGTCCTCATCGACTTATGGAGATTTTCCTATCCGTGACCTCTCAGAGTTTCTTAGCAGCAAAGAAGATGAAACTGGGGATGACATAATGACTGATGCTGTTCAGCTGGACGTGAACAAGGTTTTTTTTCAAATAAACCCAAATGACTGTGAATTGTTGGTTTCGGAAGGTTCAGAGGAGTCACTGGTGTATATTGCTGGATTTGTCTCAAGTAAGCTGAACAAAAAAATTAGGTGTGCTGCCTGCAAGACTTTATTGCAGATGGACAGGCCATTATCAAATGATCTTGACTCAGGTGCAATGTCAACAGACTATATACAGCTGCTTGACCGTGGAGGTTTGAAATACCCTTCAAAATTAATAAGTTTAATAACATGTGTCACATATGCAGCTATGCAGAAGCTTATATCAGCTGAGTTGGAAACACAATTTCTAGCCTGCAAACATCACAATAAATTGCTTATGCATATAGTTTCATGCAGTTTACAAACATATTTCAAGGATGAAATAGGTGGTGTCTGTGCTGAGGGTTGTTCTAAAATAAACATTGCTTCCAAAGCGCTGCCATCTCTGGCAAATGTTTTTATGAACAATTATAGAAAAATAAAAACCGTCACATCCTTGCTGGATAAATCATCTAAGAAAAGAAAACTGACCAAATTCACCCTGTAATGGATTTCATGGATTATGTAACTTCAATTTGGACAGCTACATGGTAAGTAGTTTCTGTTGTGCTTTTAATTTCTATGTCATATTGTGAATATGTGAGTAGTTTCTGTTGTGCTTTCTGTTTCTATGTCATATTGTGAATATGTGAGTAGTTTCTGTTGTGCTTTCTGTTTCTATGTCATATTGTGAATATGTGAGTAGTTTCTTTAGTGCTTTCTGTTTCTATGTCATATTGTGAATATGTAAGTAGTTTCTGTTGTGTTTTGTTTCTATGTCTTATTGTCAATACCTACATCCAGGGCTGTTCAACTAAGTCAATTTAGGTTAACTCAGAAGCCGACATTGTAAAATTAGGGATCGTTATGGGCCAGCAGTCCCGGAGTCCGAGTCCCAGCTTAGAAAAACCATTTTTTCATCGCAACCAGCAGTGATCCGCGGGCCACTCGTTAGGCCTCAGCGGGCCAAATTTGGTCCGCGGGGTGACTGTTGAATAGCCATGAGCTTACTGCTATACTTTTTGTGGGCTAGTACTCAGGGGACGGCCGGGAACAAACAAACAAAACAGGTACTTCCTGAGTGAAAAAGTAACATAACGTTAGCCAGCGGCGGTGACGTCACGGCCCGCTGATGACGTCAGTAGCTAGGCCTGTACTAAAGTTTGGCTATGGATGGAGCCATAGTAGCATTAAAGAAACACCTGGCACAATGAAGTCTATCCTTTCGACTTTTACCTTCTAAAAACTGCAAATTATACGTCTGATGCGCAGCTGATGTTGTTTCACTTGGAATAATTATATCAGTTCATTTTCATCACGTGTAACAGTTTAAAAAAAATATATTTCTGGAAATTTAAATTGATCACTTCCTGAAATTGTTTTTAAAAAATGAATAATAAAAAAAAAAAAACGACTGCGAAAATGTCACGATGACAGAAGCAATGGCTATTTAAAAAAAAAACAGAAGCAAATACCAAAATGTGATATAACAATGAAAGAAAAGTGCCTAAGTAGGTCAACAAATTCAAGTATATGGAGACTTGTAACATTTGTGAAGATGTGCGACAGAGAGTAGGAGCGGAATATGCCAGGCGAAGGTGGCATTCACTAAAAGATGTTATGAAAAAGTTCTCTCCAATTAGGCATAGTAAAATGATTATTAAAATGTTATTTTGAACCACTGCTGCTATGGATCTTGGGATGTGATTGACCTAGATATGAGCAATTTGGAGACTCATGCTACGGATACCGTGGTAACAAACAACGGCTGCATGGAAATGTCTGATGTAACCAGAAAGCTACACATAACTACAAGAAAGAGGCAGTCAGTTGTTCTTCGGTCATACGACGAGAAGAAAAGCTACAGAGAACATCATGATGACTAGAAGATTATCGGTGGTAGAGGCAGATGCAGACCAGGAGAGACGATGTTTGATCCTCTGAAACGATGGTACGCAGAAATATCATTAGCGAAACTGATTCAAAATACCAAGGGTCGAGATCTGTGGAGAGACACGAGAGCCTACATGGCCTGGCAGGGCACATGATGACGATGATGGTCAGTGTTAAGATAACTAATATTTGTCACTTATCCTGAACTTGTATATTTGACTGTTGACAGTGGCTTCTTTGGTCAGTCACGGTTGAATGTGTTCACTTTTTGCACGTTTACACGGCCACGACCGAAGAGGAACTCCTCAGACAGGCCAACAGAGATGATTCGTCCTGCAGTGTAGCACAGAGTCCTCGCCTTGGCCTGGAGGTGGTGCCTTGTGACAGGCTCATGTTCAGGTACTGCAGAAGTTTACAACACAAACACAAATAAATGTAAATTTACATACGAACACGAAAACACTTAATATACTCATACTCAACCATTCCCACAAACTCATACAATTCCAAACACTCATCATAAACAAATACTCACACAAATATCACAAACAAATACTCACACGCAGACCCTGCACAAACATACACAAAAACTCAGAGAATTTTGTATTCTTCATCTTGACGATTATGTAAGATGTTGCAAGTGCAGATTCTACATGAAGTCCTTCCCCACTTTCCAGAAAAGACATACACACGGGCAGATTAGATAATTAAGAATGATGAGAATACAATTTACAAATAGAAAAAAAAAGACAGATACAAATCTAGAAAAATTTTTAACTAACTGCAACACGAGTATACAATCCGCATTCTTTGTGCACAATGGGAGAAACAGGAAAAAACAAGTTCTACGTGACAAGGAAGCTACAGTTAAAAAAGGCTGTGGGCAAAGCATGCGATAGCTCTGAAAGTTTAAGTGTGGAGCCTAACAATACTGTGCCTCGAGACCACGCGGTGCTCCACCCAGCCTTGTGGAAATAGCATGAAAATGTAGGATTGAAGAAACTCAACAGCTCAAATAACATGAACTATTCTTCCAGCTCCCGTGGGGCTTTCGATACCCATAAGGTGGAAAACAGGAGTAGACCTTTTGGCTCTGTAGCCTGCCTTTCGTAAAAGTCGACTAATTAGGGATTTCCATCAAAGCTGAAGTGCATCTGTCTTAGATGCAATTAACTAACATTCTACATTCTAACAAGTCTATTAGTTAAACGGTTGTGAATGCAAAACTTACGTTCTGAAACTAGACTAAAGTGCAGAAATGCGCGAGCAACCAGAACTTCCCCTAGAGTTTGCAGCCGGTGAACGCTAAGAAGACGAAGAGATTGTACCAGCTGTTAACAGCCGAATACCAGCTGTCAACAGCCGAATACCAGCTGTCAACAGCCGAAGAGAATCGTTGTGGTTTCTCTGAACTGTCCAATTCACTGGCAATGAGTTGTATGTTGCGAAAAGAGGATTTACGACCTAATGTAAGTTGTTAATATGTTTGTGTGCCTAGATTTACTCTGTCCCTAGGGGTGAGCCTGTAGGTGCCTGCAACGTGACCGGGCTGTGGCCGGAGTACGACCGAGGTGTGGAGGAGGGCTGCAACTCATTGACAGGTCTTGTCTACAGGGTGTACGACGGGTCTGCGTCCTCGATCAGTGGTCAGCCCATTCGACTTTACAGGAACATCTTCTGTGCTATTTGTAATAGGGTAAGGGAAATGTATTGTATATTTATACTGTGTGGGTAAAAAAAAAAGCACCGTCAGCGTCTGTGACTTATGAGTTGTGAACATGCTTCATAATGCCGGACTGCCGGGCTCGATCCTAATTCAAGCGATTTGGCGCCAGACCGTCTTGTATTGTTTTCGGCAGTGATAAGGAAAGCCGACCGTTAAATGTTATGGCAAATCCTGAACGTAAATTTGCCTAGAAAAACCGCAACAGCCAACAAATGCTGGGGTTGGTTCTGCAACGTCCTGTAAAGGATACACAACTGATTGTTTTTTTTTTTAAACAGAGCACCAGCAAAGCAATACCCAGACCCTGGCTAACATTGCCATCCCTTTTCAACAAGCTCACCACTAATCCGACACAATCCAGTTCACTCCCTTGACATATGGCGTTTTCTTCTTTACACCTTACCATCAATAGCCAATATAACTCTAGCACCAAATACGTTAAATGTTATTCCTTTTTTAATATTTTACTATATAATATATCAGTCGAGCACCATATGCCCTTTTTTTATCACCATTTTGATACTTAACTGGATAACCTGTATAATACTAGACCTTTGAATTTATAACACATGTAATTCTAGCACCATATACCCATGCTTTTATCCATTTTTTAACATTTTTCTATATAACCTTTATAAGCACGCGTCATAAAGATTTGATTTATCACATTTATTTTATATATTTTACTATATAACCAATATAAATCTAGCACATTTACCTTATACCCACTTTATTCACCAACCCGGCTGTAAACTAAGCGCTGCCTTAACTTAACCATAACGCATAAAAGGGCCTATGAGTATTTCTTCCATAAAACCTATTACCCTCCCTTCCCCTGCGTTTATTATATATTCTTCAAATCCCAAGCAATAATCCACCTCCCCCAACTAGTATATTAATATGTCCAAATGTTAACACGATTGATCTAGTTGTTGATTTTGAGTTAAGCTTTCTAACCCGCCCATTGCACAAGAAGCAACCCCCGCAACTCTTGGTGCACCTGAATACTTCGCTGTATACGCCTACCGCAGCTGGTGAAATACTGCCAAAATGCAACATATATTACTACTCAAGTGTACCTAAGAAATGTGTATATTTCTGGCAATATAAACTACATTAGTACCTAAAAACCATGCATATTTTTGGAAACATAAATACGTTTGTATGTAGTTACGAATTAAGTGCATTTCTGGCAATAGACATATGCATATCTGTCTGATAACTATACGAGTTTCTGGCAAAATCAACATACATATATGTACCTAAAAAACATGCATATTTCTAACAACAGAAAAAAGTAATGTGTGCCAAAGAAACATGCAAATTTCTCTAACATAAAACATACTTACATAAGTTGTGACAAAATTATATATATATATATATATATATATATATATATATATATATATATATATATATATATATATTTTAAAGTGTTTATTGTTTCAAAACATTAGATACAAATTCTCTTTATAAACAGAAGCAAAAACAATAAGGTGATGTGCGAAAAATGATGATGATTCGTACCGTTTCTCACCAACCTTAAACAGGAAATAGAGACAGTAGGAGGCAGAGAGGAAAGCTGGGGCGGAAACGGAACGGTGTATATATATATATATATATATATATATATTATATATATATATATATATATATATATATATATATATTATATATATTATAACTAATGTACCATATTTAAGGAATTAAAGAAAAGACATGATTACCAGAATAATTGAAAAAAGGGGGTCATGTTAAAAAATAAGTTAAAATAATGCTTAAAAGCAATAGAAAAGAAGACATTTAAGAAAGAGAACATAATCAGATATTTAAAGGCAATCGTAACATCAGATGGAAGTCGTATAACAAAGAATAAAGCAAGACTGGTCAAACAAAAGTTGCATTTGAGAAGATCGGATGTAATTAAACACTTTTGTTTGAAGGAATAAGATTATAAAGCATTTGAACTGTTACTGCATACAAGAGAATATTGAACTGTTTCGTTTAACTATTCTGTTCGATTTCATTAAATTGTGAATGTGAATGAAAAGAGAGTTTTGAGTAAACAGAGAACAGACCTGGAGTAGCCAGAGTAGCAAGCAACGATTGTCCAGGAAAGTCTGATGATAGCAACACATACTTTAGCAGGGAGATAAAGTCACGATAGACCTATTATCAATTACGTCCCGACATGAGAGACATTTTTGTGTGGATATTACACTCCCAACCCGGCTGCACTTCAGGTTACACCATTTCCGTCGGGCCCTAATGTAAGATTACGGTTGAACAGGGTTGTCTTAGATTTGTACTTGGGAGAGTCTTTAAAGAGTGTCACTTTGTGTCACATAGTAATCGTTCATTGTGCTATCATAGTGGGCTATTGTTGATATTTGCTTCTCGTCTGTGTTATATCCTTGCGTCCTTTTAGGACGAAACTTTTTGTTCTTTGAAGCCCCACCCTGGCTTTTGCCAGGGGTTGCAATATAGGCAGGCCATAAATATGGCCAATTGTCTGAACGCGGTTTCTGGGACCTCTCCACGGCGATCCTCATCCACATGGTGGCACTTTGTGTCATCGGGTGTTTATCGCTTGTGTGATGTCCTGGTGGGGTAGAAAGTCAGACAATCAGTCCTTTGCTTCTCGTCCTTTTCTGGATGAAAGTTTTCGTTATTTGAAGCCCTACTCTGGCTTATGCCAGGGGCCGCAATATAGCCTGGCCATAAATATGGCCTAACGGCTGAAATGGGTTTCCGGGACCTCTCAACGGATGATCCTCATCCGCATGGTGGCACTTTGTGTCACCGGGTGTTTATTATTTGTGTGATGTCCTGGTGGGGTACAACTTCCTACCTATCTACTCACCCCTAAGACAGATTAACCGTACCAACAAACATAGGACTGCAGGTTATACCTGACTGGTGTAACCGATACGGCTGCTTTAATTTTAACGTCATTGAAGGTTGACCATGGTACCTGAGATCTGCCTTGTTGGTCTGCCATCCGGGCTTATTTAAAAAAAAAAAAACAACCTAAGGATAGTATGGTAAACCTTTCCGTAACATCCCTATAGGGGACAAACTGATCGATGGATCAAGGGAGACATTACATAACTTTCTAACAACGGAGGCAAGAGCAACGGATTGAGGACTGAGAACATAGATGCTGGATGGCCTGAAAAAGAATCAGAAAGAAGCCACAGGACAAAGACAGAGATTTTACAGAGACATGAACGACTGGGCTAAGTACATGATGATGATCATAAAGACGACGAAGATAACGAAACTGACGATGACAATGATAATAATGATGACGACATCCATAATCCTTTTTGTTTTCTTCTATGCCATTACTGCTTGTATTTACCATTTTTGCGGTGTAGGCGGGAAGGCTTGGGGGGGGGGGGGGCGGAGTTGTAGGGCTTTTTTGAGCCCGAGGAATTAAGGCTTCATGGCTAGTGCTGTCACCACCGACTGTTCCTCAACATTATCGAGGATTCGAATCTAGGTCTCCTTCTTGACAGCTCGATGTTCTAACCGTAATAGCAGATGAATTCGTAGTAATTATTCTCTTCATCAGGAACACAACCCCAGATATCTTGCATGTACACCTGATGGGGCTGGAGGAGGTTTTGCACCATCACCGCCATTGTCCATCCTGCTGGGTATACACGATGAGCCTCCAAGACTGGAGAACAACATGCACTCCAACACATGTTCAAACACGGAATGGCTCAGCCCAAGTGTAAGCTCGATCTTCTTTTAGCTGTTATCGATTTGAATTGTTTCTGAGAAGCAGGTATTTGTTTTTGCTGCCTGTTAGTATTGACACGGGCAGAATACAGAGCATTTGCTGTGTTCAGTGACGATGTTTTATGTTGATTTATGTATTCGTTGATTCTTGTTCAAGTTAAGCTGCGCATTAGGTGTTGATGGTGGTATGCTGTTGATCTTCTTGTTGTTGTTCTTCCCCTCTCGTTCTTGTCCTTCCTTCTTCTAATTTGTGAAACTGTTTGTGTGTGTGCGTGTGTGTGATGTGTGTGTGTACGTGTGTGTTTAGGTGTGATGGTGATAACGTTCAACCCCACCAGGACATCACACCGAGTGATAGATAAAGACTCAGTGACACAAAGTACCACCATTCGGATGAGGACAACCCGGGTATAGGTGGAAACCATGGGCTCCCGGCAAACAGCAAGGATGGGGCTTAACCACAAGTCCTACATTGGGAGGCATTAGACGTTGATGTTTAGATTTCGAATACCCTAATATTAAATGCTAAGCTGGGTCGACTGAGCAATCTAGATCAAATTAGTTAGACTGTATAAAACATGAAAGTTAATTTCCAGACAAGAATGCTAAGCTGGCGTCTGTTTTTGTGTCTTTTGAAGGGACAATGCTTCCCCTTGTACTGCTCCCCTGGCAAGATTCTCGTTAACAGAACATGCGAGACGGGACTGAAGCAGATTACCGGACTTAGATATCACCTTCGGTTATGGTTCTTGCATCAAACAGACGATGTGACAGAAACAAGGGACAGAATCACAACGTCATCTGTTGATGTTATTGGAGACATATTTTATAATAAGGTAAGTTTTTTTTTTTTTTTGGAACCTTGTTTTGAGATCGCATATGAGATTAGATGGTAAATAACTCTCTCTCTATTTTCTCTTTTTCTCTCTGTGAGTGTGTGTGTGTGTGGTGGCCGTATTATGTGTGTGTGTATGTACCGTGTGTTGTATGTATGTATGTGTGTGGTTGTGTGTGTGTGTGTGTGTGTGTGTGTTTGTGTGTGTGTGTGCCCGTGTGTGTGTGTGTGTGTGTATGATGTATGCCCGTGTGTGTGTATGTGTGTGTGTGTGTGTGTGTGTGTGTGTGTCTGTGTGTGTCTGTGTGTGTCTGTGTGTGTGTCTGTCTGTCTGTCTGCCTGTCTGTCTGTCTGCCTCTGTGTGTCTGTCTGTCTGTCTGTCTGTCTGTCTGTCTGTCTGTCTGTCTGTCTGTCTGTCTGTCTGTCTGTCTGTCTGTCTGTCTGTCTGTCTGTCTGTCTGTATGTGTGTGTGTGTGTGCGTGCGTGCGTGCGTGCGTGTGTGTGTGTGTGTGTGTGTGTATGTATGTATGTATTTTGTTTGTTTGTTTGTTTGTTTGTTTTATTATATGTACGAATCAAGCCTGTAAACATGTCATAAGGGATCAATTACTTATTATCGTGTGTATGGATTCATCTAAGTACCTATATGTTAATCGTCTTTACCATCAAAGGACAGCTTGCACATTGGGCCATCCTAGCCAGTACGGGTGCCCTAATTGAAACTTTTGTTGTTGTTTTGAGGTTGAACGCAGTATCTAAGATTGCTCTGTTAGTCTGCGATCCAGGATAAGACTCTTGTGGTCTCAGAAGTGATCCAACCTGGAGACAGACAGATAATCAAATAAAATACGTGTTCAAGTGCGATGCAGCGAGCGTAACAAATCTGTCAGCAACACGGTGCATGTGACGGAAATGACTACTACGGATTCATGGGTGTTTTTGTAAGACCTTCTAGGCGGCGTTTTGGGTAAAGTCCGTCACGGAGGATGATCCAAGATCCTTGTCTAAAGATGATTTCGTTTGTGTTTGCTTGGTTCTAGCCAGAAGGTTCACATAATAGGTCGAGCCGGACTTGTGTACAACCACTGGATGCATGTAAGATAAGCTGACTTTTCTTGATGATTTATTAAAGGTAAGAAAAAAAAGGTGCTGGTACTCACCAGAAAGTGACTATTAAATGAGCAATGACAAAATAATGCCTCAAAAAGGGTGCCAGTACTGCGTAATGTCAGGGACAAAAGCACTGTTTTTATAATATTTGACGTACCTACAGTTCAATTTACTTTGCAAGCAGCTGAAAATACTGTTCTCGCCACAAAATTACGAGAGTCACACCCTGGAAAAAAATAGATTTTTGGCACGCAATATTCCCCAAAACAGCAGGCAGGTAGGCGGATTTCCATGGGAAGACACAATTTTAATTCTTTAATTTGATAACAAGCAAACCGATTCTAGGCAAGGAGATAAGTTGCAGACACTAACCAATGTAATTTGTTTTATTCTACAGCTCAACTCCAAACTGTCCCCGTTAGTAGATAAAATCGTTTTCAGAATCACAGCAATGATCAACATGTCCGCAATACCGGAGTACTACGTGAGACCTTCACAGCCTTTGAACTTCTCACTGACCAATGACAGGGCACTCTATTGGAAACTGCTTGAAGCAACCACAGGTACTCTCCATCAACGGCTAGTATGAAGGGCGAGCGAAAAAAACAGTTCGACTTCCAGGTTCCATTTGGTTACTATGTCACAGGTGATGTTGTAGCTTCTGCAAAAATAACCAGAGACGAGTTTGAGCAACGTTTGATGCGTACACTTCTTCGTGATACTTTGGAGGTGGAGTTCAATGACGGTGTAAAAGGAAGATATCAGCCGATTATCATGTGGGGTGACGACAGTCTAAATGTTTACTGTGAGCATGCCAGAAAGATGAGTCACGATTGCCTTCGAGCTAACCCTAAGCGAAACACGGATGCATTATTTTTGGTAGATACATACGAAGATGTATTAGAGGGTAGCGATAAGTTTCTAAACGTCTCTGAACTATTAACATGTAGTTACATAATTCTTCAACACTCCATGTTTATTGTAGACAAATTAGAGGAAGGAGTTCTACCTAGTGTTTTCGTGAAGGTAAACTTCAGCGGTGTTAATGTCACCTTCTCGAGCGCTGCTGCTTTAAACAAGATGTCTCTGGGCACAAATGGAACGCTACGTGTTTGTCTGGAGCTGTTTGATGGCTATAAGCATAAGCCACAGTTGGTTTCTGGTTCGACAAGTGAGAGATTCCTCGTTCAGTACATTCTGTCTGTTGTGTGTTTGGCTCTCTCCATGGTATGTCTTCTGCTGGCTCTGGTGACCTACGCCATGTTTCCCGCCCTGCGTAGTGTGGCGGGAAGGAATAATGTGTGTCTGTGCACAACTCTGATGCTGGCGCAGGCGATGATTCTTGCAAGCTCCCATATGTGAGTAGTGTCTTTTTGTGACAGCATATGTGGTTTTATTTAGTTAAAGCGAATCGAGGTTATACATTGCCATTTCCTACACGCATCGTAGATTATACTTCATCAGACCTTATAGTCTTGAGAGTAAATAATGCCTTTGGTAAAGTAATGAAATGAGCGGCAGTAATTAATTCACACAGTGATCAACGTTTGTACAGTACACAAAAGGGACCTTCTATTTTTCATTACCTTAAAATTATGGATTTTGGGGAAACATATTAATGCAAATGGAACCTTTAAGGAAAGGAAAGGACGAACAATGTAAACAATGTGGGCTATGAAACAAAAGTAAAAATTTAAAGGACAAGTATTAGAACTTGTTTTAGAACTTGTCTTTTTAAATTTGTGTTCACATCGTTTTTATGTATCCGGTTTATTTGCATGCAGACTGTTGGTTACTTACTCCTCAGTTAGATGCGGACCAACTTCAAATAAACACCTAAAATTAGTATTCCTTAAGGACATACTTGTTTGTTGGCAGTGGGTCTATTCTTGTTTTGCTCACGTTCCCCTGATCCCACACGATAGAGATGCGACTGATAATCGCAATTACTGTTTTCATTGCCATTATCGTTTTCTTTACTTTTATTATTTTCATTGACTTTACTGTTTTCATTGACTTTACAGTTTTCATTTAATTTACTGTTTTCATTGACTTTACTGTTTTCATTGACTTTACTGTTTTCACCGTCATTAATGTTTTTCAATACCGTTACTGTTTTCACTGTCATTAATGTTTTTGTTACCGTTACTGTTTTCACTGTTATTATTGTTTTAAATGTGTTACTGTTTTCACTGTCAATAATGTTTGCATTAGCTTTACTGTTTTTACTGCCACGACTGTCTTTACACCAACTGAATGATTGAATCGGAAAACCGAACCAAATCCTTTATAATAACATGCAGACAACTTGATCATTGTGTCACAGAGTTAATTTTAATGAATTATTCAGATAAAGTGACATTGTTTGCAGGTCGCCGGACCTTGGAGTTGTCTGCGTGGCTGTGGGCGTGGCCACACACTTCCTCTGGCTGTCAGTCATGTGCTGGAGCTTCCTGTGCTGCTTCCACATGTTCCGAGTGTTCACGTCCAAGACCCGCAGCTCTTACTCCACGACCAGCTCTAGGAACATCCTTCTGGGCAAGAACCTGGCCTGTTCCTTGCTGCTTCCAGCGGTGGTCGTGGTTGTTGTTGTGGTTACCATGCATACAACGTCTGGTGGACAGAGTCTCGGCTATGGAGGTAGTGTTTGCTACCTGAACTCAAACATTTTAGTGGGTATGTACCTAAATGTATTAGTGTTTTTTCGAAATCGTTTCTTATGTTTGTAATATGGTCTTCTATAGTGGGAAAGTAAAGTAAAAGTAGAGATCCATTTTTACGCCTTATGAGTATCGGGCATATGGGAAAAGCACCCATATTTTTACAGGCCAATCGGCACTAGGTAGGTAACGTGGTCAGCATTACGCCGGCCGTCTTTACTTTGGCCTGGATCAACCTGCGACGCCCCATACCTTGATAAAAATCCACGCAGCCAGCAGTGGGTTTCGATGGCGGTACGTTTGAATTACGGATCGGACTCTCCTAAGCCACGGACGCCGCTTTCTATTGTGGGTAGTTACCTTATTTTATTAGTAATTCTCGAAATCGTTCCTTGTTTGTAATATGGTCTTCCATCGATGCGCTTGTTACTTCAGACTTCTTATTTAGCAGCTTTTCTTTATACACTTTTTTCTCCACTTCCTCCCAAAGTTACATGCACAATAAACCAGATGTCATACGACTAGATAGGTATCAATATGGATAAGCACATTCGAAAACATCTTTTTCACAATCCCCTTGATTCGGGTGGGGGTTGTGTGGGGGAAATAAAAAGGGGGGGGGGGGGGGGTGAGTGGATTATGCAAACTGAGATTTCAGCACTCAAATTACTAAATATGACTTGTAGAAACACTTTATTAAATAAGACTAGAAGCCATATTGTTCACATAACCAATATTGATTGGAATTTTTGGTTGTTACACTTGCTGGTTGTTTGATTGACTGTTTAGTTAATTGACTGCCTGGTTAATTAGGTGGCTAGCAGATTGACTGCTTGGTTGATTGGCTGCTTGTTTCATTTGCTGGTTGGCTGAATAAGAATTTTTTCATTTGCTGAAATCTTGGCTGAATAAGCCACATAGAGTTTTTTTTCTCTTCTATTTGAAATAAAAAATGTGAATCTTCACTTTATAGAGCCCATTTGCTTTAACTGATAGAGTTTATCAATATTTACTAGATCTTCGAGCCATTTGAAATAACAAAAAGTGAAGCTCACACTAATGCCAGCATTTGCCACAGTTGCTTTACGTGATCTTGTATGTTTTACAGGAACAGTCACGGTGCTACCCATCTTGTCTGTGTCCCTGATAAACATCGCCTTCTTCCTGATCACGGTGGTGCACATCCATCGGGTGCGCAAACTTCAAAAGCACGAATCTTTCAAGAAGATGGACCTGCAGCATCTGTACGTCTACATCAAGCTCTCAACAATGACCGGGGCATTCTGGGTGCTGTCTGTAACAGGCGAAGTTCTCCTGCTTTTTCTCGATGCTTTAATCCAAGTTCGCGTTTTCACTCAGCATAACTCTCTGCTGTTAATTCAAAATGACACATGTATGTGTACTGTGTTAGGAGAGTTATCAGCAATTTGGGTTGCCGGCTGCTTATCTTAATAATAGGAGACAACTCGCCAGTCCTTAGAGACTATGGAGTTGTGACTCTGGTTTTGGAAGCATCGTTTGCTATGACTGTAAATTCAATGCGGGAGTGACAGTCTCTGCCACAAAATCCACCTACAAACGTTGAAACTCTATTATGCTGGGGCTGGTTTTCTCTCAAACATTTATATAGCTTGCTGCGTTGAGTTTCTTGCAAACTGCCGCAGTCAGTCATCCACTGTCTACCTACATAGAAGTCGGTCTTCAGGTGTTCATACCACCCCCCCCCCCCACCCCATCCCTCCCCAGTGTCTGTGTCAATGTTGGTATTGTTGGTATCTTTTTTTCAGGTCTTGTTTGCTTATGAACTTTTTACCGTGCTACCATAAGAATGGCCAGGGTTATATGTTTTTGCACGAGTCAGTGTGAATCTGGATTTCTGTCAAATTAATTAATTTTTTTCCCCCAGTCAATACCCAGAATGTTATTATTCCCAACAATCCATTGTGACCACTTCCTTGACAGTTTTTTTCCCCCAGTCAATCCCAGAAAATTCCCAACAATCTGTCTCTTAAACTGCTTTAGCAGAAAGTGTGAAATCCAGTGAGTCATTTTTGTCTATACACATCCTAATAGGGAATAAGATTTCCGTCCATTTCTATGACGTTACGCCTACACGCAACAGAGACATGCACGTCCTACCTGTTCCACGATTTTCCTGCTGGGACATTACTTTATGAATGTCCTTCGTATTGAAATTGTTGTTTTCAGACAATACCACACAAGTTTGTCTTTTAGGTGTATGTCAGATATAATGTCTAGGTTGCCTCAACAGATACAACCATTTGAGAATGACAGGGCTTCACACTTACATGACTAGAACATTTGAGCTGACGTTCGCTGATGTCCTGTCATCTTTCTTTTTTCAGAAAATGCACAGAAAACCGTTAAAATTGCCAGATACCAATGTTTATGATGTTTGGAGTCACAATTTTTGGGAAAAACTGACTCCCTTTTCAGGAATTCTGAACTAGAAGCACTGGTTTACTAAGCAAATTCAATAAGCACTATGGCAACACAAAATTTATTGTTGTGTAGTGTAACTTGTATGTGTGTGTTTGTCAGTTCCTTGAATGTAAAAAATATGTCTATCACACAGGATTATTGGTTCCGCGAGTTCGTATGGTATAAAATATTTATTTCACACTTAATGATTATTTGTTTCAAACATTTATGTCATAACAATTTTGTTTCACAGTGAAGTGTTTTTTCGACGAACTTGAATGTTATCAAATATTTTTTCACACAGAATTGTTATTTTGATGAATCTACACGTTATAAATTACTTCTTTCACACATAATTGTTATTTAAAGGAATCTATATGTGACATTTTGCTTCATGAATATTTTGGAAATATAATGTGGTGGTTTCCCGTTGTCTCTCACATCCACTTGGGGGTATTAGAGCCACTCTCTTAGCAATATCAGGCTGTCAGGACACGTGAGTGCCCTTCTCTGCTCGGATGCAATGTCCACTTTTTCCGTCGGATACTCAGTCCCCATATCTGCGTTAGCCATACCGAGGTGTGTTCCCGTTCCCTACAGAGAGGAGGTGCAGTTGGAGTTGTTCCCCATCATCAAACTTGAGACCGAGGTGTGTTCCCATTCTTTACAGCGAGGAGGTGCAGTTGGAGATGTTCCCTATCATCAAACTTGAGACCGAGGTGTGTTCCCATTCTTTACAGCGAGGAGGTGGAGTTGGAGTTGTTCCCCATCATCAAACTTGAGACCGAGGTGTGTTCCCATTCTTTACAGCGAGGAGGTGCAGTTGGAGATGTTCCCTATCATCAAACTTGAGACCGAGGTGTGTTCCCATTCTCTACAGCGAGGAGGTGCAGTTGGAGATGTTCCCCATCATCAAACTTGAGACCGATGTGGCATTTCTCAAACTCTCTGGATGTTCTTTGCTCACGTTATTGAGGGAGGGGGGGGGGTGCGGGCGGGGAGGGGGGGGCGTTATGGTGAAGGTAAAGGTAAAAAGTAAAGTCGGGAGATGTGAACCAGCGTCATGGCACACGGTTATAAACCATAAGTGCTCTGTACCAGTACCGACAGCTGATAAGAAACTGTCCGCCTGTGTCACCGTCCACATGTAACTCCGTAGCTACAGCGATTTTCCTCCATTTACGCCAGAGTGTCATCTCTGGTACTCCTTTCCTAGAGGTTGGGTGAGCCCCGCGAACCGCCCGGTTTTGAACACCGGTCGTGGGCTGCAGCGAGTCGCAGCTGGATTTGAAAGCGAGTCTTCTATCGACTGCGCTAACGCGGCCCCCGGGAGAAGGTTATGGAGAATGTTGTAACGACTGGGTAGATCAAGGATAGAAGTGGGCGAGACAGACCCACAGGGATGACGATGGATGGACAAGGATGGTGGCATGGAGGGATATCATTGGTGGAACTTATCCAGTTGTCAAGGAACAGAGATCTGTAGAGATGCCTGAACACCTACGCCAGTCGGCAGGGCACATGGTGTTGATGATGATGATATGTTATACATTTTTTCCCATTCAGGATTATTATTTCCACGAAACTACAGGTTATAAACTATTTCTTACAGGATTGTTGTTTTTATTAACCAAAATATTATAAAATTTTAACTTTGACAGGATTGCTGGGATACTTCTCAATGGACTCCAGGGGCTGTACATCTTCATCTCCTACACCTGCAACAAACGAGTATTGTCCCTTTATCTGCGCCGTCTGGGCATCAACAGTACTACCCACACAACCATGACCGCCCCTTCGACCGATGGAAGTACTGTCATGAGGCTCACAAAAAGAATAAACTCGGAAACACATAGCCACACAAGCCATGCATTAGAATAGCTACTGTCTGCACAGATGGGCTAAATCTCGTCTGACGTGGGAGGTACGAGATCTTCGCAAAAAACAGATTTGATTGACGCCGCGACCAGATGGGAGCCCTGCATGTGACAGAAACAGATGTTAATATATCTTAAGACAGGATAATTGTGTATACCAGATCACTTTAAATTTCCACAAAGATAGACTTCACAATATAAAAAAGTAAGGAAAAAAAAAGACCCTGTGGCAGCCCTTCAAGCGTATTGGACACATAGGGCTAGATCTATATTTCATAGATCAGTCGGCACTTAGTAGATGATGTCATCAACAACACGACTACACAGTATCATTACTATAAGTGTTTTCAATACATTTAAAATATATTGAATGTGACAATCTATACCCGGGTTCGAATCCTCGGTGAAACTAGGGATTTTTTTGTGTGTCTGTCGGGGGCAAAATAAAATCCTCACCTGCACAGTTATGGCGACAGCACTAGCCAGGCCGCTGTAAATCTTCAGGCTCAAAGACCCAATCCCCGTCTACAGCGCATAAGTGGTAAAATAAAAGCAGTAATTAGCAGTAATGACAGCCTATACTCTTACAGTCGTATACAATTTTTACATACTTTTTGCAGTATTGTGTAACCAAACATAATTGGCAGATATAAATATTCATTCCTGAAATAGAAGAAAACTACTCTGTATATTTCAATAATAACCTCTATGGTTGAACAGGATATTGTTTAAATTACTTCTTCTTCTTCGCGTTCACTAGCTGTGAACTCCGGCGGAAAGTTCTGGTTGTTCGTCCACTTCTGGACTGCAGTCCTGTTCCAGAACCTGAGTGTTGCGTGTACATCCATTTGACAGATCTGTATGCAGACTGTTGGTTCCTTGCCTCTCAGGCAGATGCACTCCGACTTCGAAGGAAGCTCCAAATTAGTCGACTCTTACGACATGCTTTTGGGAAGGCAGTGGGTCTATTCTTGTTTTTCCCATAGTGGGGCCCCGGAACCCACTCGGGGTGAAATTAATTCTATTACTAGGCGAAAAGTTTCATGATACAAGTTACAGTGATTTCTGTATATCCAATTTTTTAAAGAGCTACTGATCTTAAAACAGTAGTCTTTTATTATTATTTAAAAAACGTGGACACAAACCGTACATTGCACAATTTATTGCCAGGCATATTTCCCTACATCTCGTCAGGTGCGTTACTACAGAGTTACATCAACATAAAATGAAGCACAAAACTGAATAAATCCAACTGAAATGCGAATAGTTTCTTCCGATACATCGAGTGTGTTCTTTTTGGCCGCCGGAAGATCACCGTAGTCACCTGACTTACCAGGGTAACTTCAAATAAAAAAATAAATTCCGTCTGCTTACAAATGAGGGGATGTGTTGATTTTTATTGTTAAAGCTTACAGTGAAAATCGAGAAAAGCGACATCATTCCACCGGGTTTTCCGATATGGCTCAGCAGAATGCTGTCCGTCTGCAGAGAGCGTCGCACAAAGCACGAAATCTATAGCTCCCTTGACGACCAGGAAGAATTTAGGAAAAACGACAGAATAACTCTTTTTGATAGACTATCAATAAACTTTATTAATGTCATCGTCGTGTTCTGTGTATACCTCTGTGTTGTCAATATTTTACATCACAACTGAGGAGATAGAGAGTCGAAATCAGCATAGACTGAGCCAAAGCAATATCGTTGCAAGCCGCTAAGGCCGCCGCTTCTGCTTCTTGTGTAGTAGCCATTAAAATGCGGTTAACACGTTATATTGTTGTTTACAGTTAGACTGCGATATCTGCACTTTTCGGCTCAAAAATCCGATTTTCACCAATCCCTACAAATTCGCCTTTTAATACGGCAGTTGGTCTACCCCTACCACTCAGCTGGGTCCCAGAACTCACAGGGAAAGAATGTCAAAATTATCACTTGTTTAGAGGCTAAACAAAGTATATGAGGCTTACTCTGTTGTACTGACCTCCAGGATGCCGCAGTGTGACGTTTGGTCACCCAAGTCTTTACTAACTAGACCTTTAAACAGGACATAAATCAGAGTATAACATGTCACTTAGCCTCTCTGGACCAAGTCTTCTCCACCTTCTTCTTATAGTCCATGCCCTGGGGCCTTGGTAGTCTTGTCAACCCACAACTTTCTTTGTCTTGTACCTTTAATCAGTTCTGACACAGATGATAGTCCATGATATGATGTCAAACGTCTCAGCATCTTCTCTCTCGGTCTTCCTGTGCTCCTCCCCCTTTTTCGAACCCAACTATTCCGCTGTCACGAGGCAACATACACATAGCAAACCCTGCTCTTCACAGAAATATGGTTTCATTTTCAGTTTCAAACCTACAGGACCAGGGACTAAAAGTCACCACCCACCACCTCCACCCTTCCCACCACAATTTATTTCTCGCTGTAGTAGCATCTAGCATATGATATGAAACTTATATTTTTATAGTGTGATCCTCACTCGACTGGGTGTTGTAGTCAACATTATGCCGGCCACTTTACTTTCCAGGACTTTTCCAAGATTTTATTGAACGCTGGGTGGACTTGGGAGCTCTAGATAAATGATAAAATCTGTACCAGTACAGATTCGAACTAAAGACCTTCAGGCTAACAGGCCGGCATCATATCAGTACGTAGGATAGATCGCAGATAACATACGCTACTGGAAACAGTCTACAGTGAGGAGTGTAGACATATCTATATTAACCACACACAAAAATAGATACTGAAATCAATTCATTCGTTATGATTGAATTTGTGTTGTCCGAGATTCTCGCCATACATAAGAACATATGTTTTTATAACGGTTATGTAAACAGGTGGTAATTTATAATTGCCCAAGAGTATAATAATTAATTATACCACTCCTTGCTCTTTTCAAATCTTCAAATCTCAGATATTTGCTGTCGAACAGAACACGGTAGTGAGACACTTGTGTCAACGATATTTTCCGGTTGGACAGCAGAGAATAACAAAATTCGTGCTGACAACGCAAGCACTGATGACGTTTTAACGTCAATATTTTTCCGGATAGCTCTCAAACTGTTTCAGGCAACCGTTGTCTCATAAAACAAAAATAAACGAGATGACGCAAAGGGATAGAAAGAAATACCTTGTTCTTCTCTTTTTCGTCGCTTCCTCGAGTTATTTCATCACAGTGTTGGAGGAGATAGAAGGATATTCTGTATGTTTTCTCGGTAATTGTTACAGTAGTCTCCTTACCGACCGCCCATATACACTTCTGATTGGGCGACCTTTAGCCTGGCTAACTTCTGATTAGTCGATCTCGAGCCACTCGACCTTGGGTCACTTTCACGGGGGTGTTCCGCAATGCCTTTGACATCGCATGTTGTATATCAGGTTATAACACTCCAAAAACATCGACAACTGGGTCTAACACACAACCCCTTTAGAGAGGGATGAAACCTATGTCACTGGCATTCTCTTTCTTGCAATAACAAACGTGAATGCAAGACAACAACAGATCGCCACACTCATAACATCGACCAGGGTAGACTAGTCCAATAAACTTTTCACTGGAATTGACCTACTTCCCGTGGGGAGACCAACGTTTCAATAACCGTTTTCTCTAATGTTTTGTATAAGCTGGTCTTTATTTCATAAAGACTGTACTTGATGCCGTCGTTCCATGTTCTGCGTGATCTCCCATATTCTCTATGTTCATTGTATTTCGTCAGTATGGCTCACAGTGAAAGTTGATACCAGGGAACCCTCTCGTCACATGGCCAAACCATCTATATGTTGCTGTTTAAGAACTTTTATAACTGGCTTCTGGCATAGTCTCCTTTTAACTTTTTTTTCCCAATTGTATCTCTGCTTGTTACACCAGCAACTCTTCAAAGAATCTTATCACTGTTGTTATAATTTTGTGCTTACTTTTTTTTTAGGTAAGGGTCCAGATTAACACTGGTAGCTTAAAATATTTCTGTTCTAGATTTGCCTTAGTAGACAAAGGTGTACATTCTATGTGTCAACAGTAGTGTTAATTGGACTTCCGGTCAAAATGGACGCTAGACACGGTCACTGTTTGGAGCCGTGGCTAATTTTTTGCTTCTGCTAGACGGTGGACGTTGCATTTTTGCGTTATTTGTATACTAAAAAGATATAGTTTCGTCGCCCAGCTTCTGAGTTTAGTGCATGGCTTGACACTGTGAGCTGTGGATTTCATTTGGAATGTTTTTTGACTGTGACCAACGTGGCAGTGTGAATTGTAGATTCAGAAAATGGCGAGCGTTTTGACCAAAATTTCCCCTTTTTGAGATTTCATTGTTTGAATTTGTTCATTTGTTTATTTTTACGGGCTATACTGCAGTCATCATTATCGTCATTATCATTATCATCATCATCATCATCATCATCATCCTATAACAGTGCGTGCCGCTGGGTCACCAGTTGTTGTTTTCTGTCTGATCAGCTACCTCCATCTTTGACTGTAAAACGCAATGGAGTTCATGGCTGTAGGCTTAAGGACTGTCCAGTCAGTCATGTTTTTTTTATCTAGGTCTTCCTTGCACTGCCTTTTCTCAACTTCCCCTCTACAGCGCCACGTAGTATTGTTTTTGTGAGGCCATTAGATCTGATTACATTTCAGCAACTTTTACGTTTTCCGCCTTTTTATTGCAGTTAAAATAGGTTCATAAATACTATGTATATTCTTGTTCTCAAAGTCCATTCCTTGTGGCGTTGATAGTCATGTCTGTACACAACCTTCTATCTCGTGTACTTTCAATCAGCTCTCATACAGAGGATCCTCCATGGCATAATGTCGAACTATCTAGTGTTTTCTTTCTCCCTTTGCCTCTCTTCTCCTGCAACTTTCCGAATGTCTCGATGAACTCCAGTTTTCTTCTTGTTATGATGTGACCAAAGAATGTGGATTGTAGTTTTCTGATGTACGCAATCAGTTCTCTTCGTGATTTAGTTTCTTTCAAGATATCTTCATTACTCCTTTTATCTATCCAGTGCATTTT